GGGCAGTGTCACTGGCCCTCATATGTGGGATCCGAACCGGGGCCCTCTGGTGTCCCAAGCCAGCTCTTAACCAACGCGCCACTTGGCCGGCCCCCACTTTGCACTTTTAAAGCAGCATTTCTCAGAGAGCTGGTCACTAACTGTGTAAATCATCTGGGCTTCTTGTTAAAGGTGCAGTTTCTTGGCCCTGCTTACCAACAGACTGGTGTTGCAGGTCTCATAATCTGTGCTTTAACAAGCTCCCTCGATGTTCTTTATGTACTGTCAAGTTTGAGAAAGTCTCCTTTCAGACTCATGTCTTTGTATAGGATTCTACTAGAGCTTTAGAGTTTTTAGAACTTTCTGCAGAAGGCTTCCTGTTTCCCACACCTAGACAGTGGCCTTAGTTCCCTTATTAGTATAACCTTGACCAATGAATCAACTTTTGTTTTAAATGTATTAAGGGGTGAGATGGGCTGTGGGTGGTGGTGTTAAGGAGGCAAAGAGCATCTTTGAATATGACAGGGAACTGTGAGTTAGGGAACCTGGGTTCTCTTAGTCTTGGCCCTGCAGTAACTTTACCTTGGACAGTTCCATGGCACAGTGATTGCGAATCTAGATATGCAAGCAGATAACTGAGTCCTCGCTCTGTCACATACTAACTGCAACCTTAGCTAAGCCCTACAGCCTGTGACTTTTTCTGTGCTGGTCATTTGCCTATTTTCCCACAGATCCATTCCCTGAATTTCCCCTGCAAACTGCATGTGCCAGGTGCCCCTTTTTGGTTACCTTTGGCCAAAGAGGCACTGGGGAAGATTCGAGGACCGGAGAAGGGGAACCCACAGTATATCTCTCTCCCTCTTCTTTGGGTAACGTCTCTGGCTGTGTCTCCTCCTTGGTTCTAGCTCCTGCTAAGCAGCCTTCATTCCTGGCTCTGATAATAGCACATCTTCTTTTTTTCCTTCCAGCCGTAGGGACAGTAGTGGCTTTCTGTCACTAATGTGGCTAATCTTTGGATGGTCTCATTATTCCACTTGGTTTTTTAGTTCTTCTACCCCTTGTATTTCATTCTCTGTATTAAATCCTCTCTAACGAAACTACCTGGTAAGGCTCTGTTTTTGCACCTTTCCCAATACAATGCTGTCATCTGTAAAGTGAAGATAATCATAGTACTTAACCTCCTACTGTTACTGTGCTGATTAATAAGTAAGTTAATGCATGCAAAGCACTTAGAGCTGAGATTGTCATATACTAAACCTTTAATAAATGGTAGCTAAGAGCTATAGAGTTTCATCATCTATAAAATTGCAGTCTTACCATTTGTTTTGCCTTCAGTAGGAGGGACATAAGAATCAAGAGAATAGTTACAACAACATTTAAAAAACAAAACATTTGTATATAGATAATACTACTATTACGAAACTACTTGGTGTGGGCTCTGTTTTCCTGATCAGACTTTTCCTTTCAAGGAGCTCAGTCTGGTTGGGGAGACAACACATCGGTGGCAGGCAGTGGGGCAGAATGGAAAGCACAGTGAGCTTTAGGTCAGAAGGCATGGACTGGAGTCCCAGCTCTGCCACTTACTGGCTCTGTGCCTTTAGCTCAGCAGCTCTCACACTGACTGGTATTAGCATCACCCGGAGGGCTTGTTCCCACAGATCGCTTGTCCGTACTCCCTGACTTCCTTACTCAGTAGATCTAGGGTGGGATGGATAATATGCATTTCTAACAAGTTCCCAGGGAGTGCTGCTGGTCTGGGACCCATTAGCTTCATTTTCCTCATCTGTAAAAGGGGGACAGGAACTGGTTCTGCGTGCTTCACAACATTTGTGCAGATAAGAAAGTACTCCTTTGTGATTAAAAATACAAACAACTGGATGTGCCTTCTTTATTAAAATAAAGCCTTAGTTGATTTTCAAAATATTTTCAAGCTAGCAAGAACACCAGCAGGTTTACATGAATGAAGTATGTCGTTACTGTGAGTTTGCACAAGAACAGGATGCCAGATCAGCTGTGGATGTCTTTTTTCCACAAGGAGGGCTGAAGTGCTTGAACTGGATTTATCAGGAGGTAAAAAGTATGAACTGGCAGCAGGCAGTCAGGAGGGATGTGGGGAGAGGTTTATGCAGAGCCCGTTGTGTTCAGGAAGTGGCAGCAGGGTGGGGGCCTGTATAGGGGTCACCACACCCCCTGCTCCCCTACTCCCTTCTCTGTCTTTTCTGTTGCTGTACTCATTCCAGCCTAGATTGTCTTCTTTCCTCCTCTGTGTGTCTGAGTCCTATCCTCTCTTCATATCCTAGCTCAAGTCCTATTTTCTCCATGAGTGTTTTCCTGCTGACTCTTGCCCACTTTGAGCTCTTCCTACCCTGAAGTCTTTCCTTCTTTCCAAAATACTACTGGTCTATCCCAGGAAATCACTCTTGTTTTATTGTCTTGTTGTTTTGAAGTTTTTTGCCGATTTCTAGTGAAATTGTGAGGTTCTTGAGGCCTGGGGCTAAGTCATCTACTTGTATGCCTCTTAAAACCAGGACAGTGTTGGGGATAGTTTAACTACGTAATAAATATTTGGGATTGTGGCAGTCTATGCATTAACTTTTGTAGTATGTGAGAGAGGAATCTTGCCTTCCATTTTTTGCCTTCTTCCATTTTCCACTTAACCAAGTACACATATAGCTTTCCTTCTTTCCTTGCAGAAAATCTATAGTCATCAGTGAGAAAACTCATTTCTCAGAGACTGGAAGGGGTGAGCTGGGGCTTGGAACTAGATCCTCTGATTCCAGACCCTGAGTTCTTTCTGCTGTAGTGTACTGCTGCCTTCCCAGGTCGGCTGATGCCTTAAAATTGTCCAAGGGTTCACCATTGCCTTCAAGATGAAGTCTTAACTTCTTGAGTTATGGAAGACAAGTCTGACCCAGCTTGGCTCTGGCCTATCTCTTCAGCCTCAGGCTCAGATACCCCCCTTTGCTGCATCTGTGGGGCCCCGTCCTGTATCTCAGAGCAGGGAAGCCAAGGAAGGGAGGGATGGATAGTATTTGGCATACTGAAATGCTGTTACTTTTATTTTGTTTTCTTTATTATGTAATATGGGATTACATAAAAGACTGTATGTAAAGTCTCTGTGAGTTACTAATCATAATCATCAAGCATCCGTCTGTGAGCCCATCACTCAACTTAGGAATTCAACTGTCAACGCTAGCGAAATTCACTGTGTGCCCCTCACCTTTTTCTGTAGAGTGGGTGGGTTTTACCACATGCTGCCAGCCCTGCTGTTTTCCAAAATAAGCTGTTGGTAAGGGGATCCTCCCCTGCCCCCAGGATTGCCACCTGGCCTTGTTCCCTGCATTTGACTCTATTGCAGAGTTCATTGGCGAAGGTCTTGATGCTGAGTAGGATCTCTGCTCCTGCAGGTCAGACCGGGAAGCTGATGTACGTGATGCACAACTCGGAGTACCCTCTGAGCTGCTTCGCCCTCTTTGAGAACGGCCCCTGCCTTATTGCCGACACCAACTTTGATGTGCTCATGGTGAAGCTCAAGGGCTTTTTCCAGAGTGCCAAGGCCAGCAAGATTGAGACCCGGGGCACCCGTTACCAGTACTGTGACTTCCTGGTGAAGGTGGGCACGGTCACCATGGGGCCCAGTGCTCGAGGCATCTCCGTGGAGGTAAGACCTTGGTGAAATGGGGGCAGCGTGTGCTGAAGGGGCTGCTCAGCAGAGGGCCTGCAGATTTCCACTACCCTCTGAATGCAGACGCTTCGTGCCTCCCTGACCCCTGTCTCCAGAGCATCTGCGCCCCCTCTCCCTGCACCTTCTACCCTTTCTTTAATCATCTGAGGACTGGCTAGCCCACGGTGGGAATGGGACGCTGGGCTCACAGCAGGTAGAAGGCTTAAGAAGGCTGGCATGCTAGAGAAAGTAAGGGGTAGTCAAGGGGGGCAGGTGAATTATGTGGAGGGATCAATCACTCAGCACAGGAAGGAGTGGAGCAGAGCAGGGCAACTTGCAGTGCAGTTTTGGGAGATGGGCACTAAATCGTGTGTACACACACCTCTCTTTAGTGTGCATTAAGATAGGTCTCACAAGTTGTGTAGCAAAGGTGTGCTTTTCCTTTTGCCATGCTGTCCACTTTCTCTCAGGGTGGAAAGACAGCATCTTTGAGGGTGTGTGTGATGACTTCATCTTGGAGGTATAGATTGAAAACGGCAAAGAGGGAGTGTGGCAGTACCTGACTTTGGGACCAGTGAGAGTCCACAATCTCCCATGTGCCCAGCACTGTGTGAGAAAAAAAAAAAAAGAAAGAAAAGCTAAGCTACAGGGCCTGCCTTGTGCAAATTTATGATTTATTAAGAGAGAAAGGCTGAAACACACAAACTGTTTTTGAAGTTAGTCTATAAGAAGCGTCATGCAGGAGGCACAGATTGCTCTGGAAATTCAGGCCAATGAGAGCACTGCTGAGTTGGGGGATTGCGATTTGTCCTGCAGCAGTAGCATTTAAGGAGGGACTTCAAATGTAGAGACGTGGGGATAGGTAAGTCCTAAAAAGCATCCCTGTAGAGAACTGGGCATTAGTGGTAATTACTGCTCTGAAACTCTAGGGACCTTGAGGGTTTTCTGACCCTTTTCAGCTTGTGACATACCCTGCATTTGCTGACACACGCTGGGAACCCACTGTTTATCCTCCATATTTCCGACTCTAGTATAAACACACCCCAGCTGTTTCTTAACTTGTTTCTCTTTATGGTTACTAATAATTCCCTCCTGCTATCTCTCCAGTGACAAAGTAGGAGAGAGAAATGAGAAAGCTGAAGATGTGTATCCTTTGGCCCCTGCTGCTTTGGTCAGGAAATTATTCCTTAGGGTCAGAGCCTAGGCTGGGTCTATCTTGGGACTAATATTTGGTCTTCAAGAGACTTAGGAGCATATGTGTCTGCTTTGCTCTCTGTTGATCCCCCAACACACACTCACATACTCACACACTTTTGCTCTTCATTTTCTCAGAATTCTTCTGAGCTCTCCTTGAATCTTCACCCAGCATAGCAGGAACTATACAGTCCTGAGATAATCCCAAAGGTCCCAGATCTGCCTCTGTGTTTTGTGGGTAAGCAGGGAGTTGATAACTCCAAGATGAGAATATCACAGATGCCTAAAGGGAATGATGCTGGTGTGTCGAATCCCTGGTGTTTGGGTTGACTATTTCCTCTGCAGCAGCACTGCTAGAAGGTGTGCGTCTTGGCTTGGGGTTGGGGAACATGGGAGCAGGGGGCAAGAGGTGCAAGAGAAGCAGAGGCCCTCATCCTTGCCTGCACTCACCCTCATCCTCTGTCCCTTTGTCCCCAGGTGGAGTATGGTCCCTGTGTGGTAGCTAGCGACTGCTGGAGCCTGCTGCTCGAGTTTCTGCAGAGTTTTCTCGGCAGCCACACACCGGGGGCTCCTGCAGTGTTTGGCAACAGACACGATGTGGTCTACGGCCCAGCAGATACCATGGTCCAGTACATGGAACTCTTCAACAAGATCCGCAAGCAGCAGCAAGTGCCGGTGGCCGGGATCCGTTAGTGACTAGAAGCTACCTGGCTGAGCTCTGTCACCAGGGGACTCCACAGGAGGAGCAGGTGCTGCACCCTCAGGCCCCTGGGCCCAGAAACCCAGGGCAGAGTGGAGCCTTCTCTCCCTCTCCTGTTCCCAGCGTGGCTTCTGATCTGGGGCTCTGGACTCCCATCCCCTGACCCTCACACACAGCCCCCTGACAGCTGTTTTACCCCACGCCTTACTGGACTTGGCCTGTCCTCAAGAATGATAATTACGAAGAGTGGAGAAGTTTGGAGCTTTCCAGCTTTAGGGGAAAAGGTAGGACAGGGGTGTCCCTGCCGAGTGTTGGTGGGGAAAGTAGCCTGTATGACCAGCTATTGAGGACTTGGCTTCGGCCCAGAGTGGACAGGCTGTATGTTGTGTTTGGGCTGTGCTGCAATAAAGGCCTCTTCCTCTACTCAAAGGACACGGCTGGGCCTCTTCTGGAGCAGGAGTAGCAGGCACAGCTTGTTTGAAGGCTGTCTTTTTCTGACTTGCTTGCTGAAGTGAACTGAGTTGACTTTTCTAGGGTTTGCCGGAGTCCTCTGAAGTCTGTCTCCCTTTGACATCTTTCGATTCTGTTGTGAATTCTATTAAGCCACAGGCTAAGCTGCTATAACAGAGAGAGCCTAAAGTACAGTGGCTGTCAGTAGAAGTTTAATTTTCTCTAAAATAACAGAGGTAGTTGGATGGTCTAGGGCAGATATAACTGTACAAGGCCGTCAGGAACTTGGTTTCCTTATATCTTTTTTTTTCCTTTTAGCTGAGCCATCCTGCCACCTGTTGGCAGCTCAGCTCAGGCCGGGAATTGAACCGGCAACCCTGTTGCTCAGAGCTCACACTCTTGAGCAAGCTCTTAACCAACTGAGCCACTCGGCTGGCCCTGGTTTCATTGTATCTTGTTCAGTCCCCCCTCCACCCACCTCGCCCTGTGTTGTCCTTGCCTGTAAGGTCAAAGCTAATTCATCAGCCTCATGTCCACATTCCACTGGGGAAAGAGAGAGAAAAATGCAGGGGTTTTGTTTTGTTTTTAAGGGTGTGACCTGGAGTTGCTTGAAGCACTATGGCCAGACTTTGTTGAAGGGGGCACTGGGCTATAGAGCCTCTTATTTGGGTAGTTATGTGCCCATTCCAAACTTGGGGGATTCTATGACTAAAAGATGAAGAAGAAAATGGATGTGGGGGCCCAGTTAATGGCCTCTGCTCCATGGAGCTCAGTGGACGTGCCCAGGAATGCTCTTGGCTGCTGTTTTGCAGTTAGTTCCCCCTGTAACTAAGCCATTTGTTTATGAATTGGATTAGGATAGGGCTGATGCCAGAGCCACTCTCAGTTTAGCTGGATGAGTCACCCTAGGAAGTCAGTTTCACAGCCCTTGCCTAAGTCTCAGCATCAAGGCCGCTCCGGTTCTCATGTGCCAGAGCTTAGTGTTAGAACAGCGACCTGGTCTCTGCACGGTGCTTCATGCTTTCCTGAGCTCCTTCTCCTCGTCTCCTTTGGGCCTCCATGCCGCTCATTTGACTGACGTTGCCTGCCCACCCTCGTGCTTCAAAATGTTCAGTCAGGCTAGCGTTGAGATACACAGTTCCGAGATGGTCTTAGGAAACGTGTTAATGTACAGACGGCCGTGTTGTCCTCAAGGATACTGTTCCTTATTGAAGGCACCTGAGAATTTGTTTTCAGACCCAAGGACCTGAAATCTTAGGTCTCTGCAACAAGAATCAGGTAGTGGTCACATTTCCCTTTTGGCATTGGCTGGCAGGAAGCTCAGGTCAATGTTAGAACTGCAGGACCTGTCATCTGCATTTTTTATGTCTTTGTTTTGTTATTGCTTTTTAAGTTGAGGTATATTTTAGATACCATTTACATATAATAAAATGCACAGATCTTCTGTTTTGGGACTTCTGATTTATATTTACTCTTGTCCAGATCTATCTATTTGTATTTTTCTGTAGGTTGCCTCCATTTTTTTATGAGATGAGACAGCATTTTGAACATAATGTGTTCCCTGATAATATATAAAAATCGAGAGTGGTAAATATAACTCTAGACTTATGCATTATAAGGAGGGACTCTGTTCCCTAAAACTGAAAAAGTAGTGTAAACTTCTGAACTATACTTTGCCTATTAGACACAGTCTTGGCTCCTACATATCCAGCGTTCTTCACTTTTGTTCTTGTCTTTTACTTTGAGCATACATTGGACCAGCTTTAAGTCCAGTGAACACCAGATCAAGCTTTAAGAACTGCCACTTTGGGTACTTTTGTCCATCTTTGTCCTTTGCGTCAATTAAAGGAAGTTTATCACTGAAAAACATGGGTAATGCAATACATTTTAACTGATATGCCGTCACTTGCAAAGTTGCCAAAACTTAACTGGTAAATAGTGGGAAGGACCCACATGTCTTCCATCTTTTGTGTGCAAGTCAGAATGGGGTTTTCAAGAATAGTTTAGGATTGTCAGTATACAGATTTTTGAAAGTTCAGGCTGAGTGAAAATTGAGGAGCAAATGTATAAATTTAAGGAAAAAGCATGATTATCCTTCTATAAATGAAACAACTTAAACTTGGCTAGTAAATGGAGTTGCCATATTTTGGGGTTCAAATCTCATGTTCTATACACCAGGTTGTCTTCCCACCCAGCTTCTTTTGCTTCCAGATGCGTTACCCCTTTTCCTATCCATAGCTACCCCAAAAGAGCAAAAACTGGGAAATTTCTAGGACCCTGCTAACAAGTCACCTTAGTGGGTACCTTTGCCAGAGCCACAGAGATCTGCCAACCGTGACTGTCAGAGCTAGGCAGGGCAGCTGGGGGACTCACCTAGTTCTCCTTTACTATAAGATGGGGACGTGGTGGTTCCCAGATAGGTCACGCTGAGAGATGAGGCTGGAGTCAGGACCAAACTTCAGACTCGGGACTCCTGGCTACTAGCATGTGTCAAAGTGTGGCACCCGGTCCTCGGTGTGGTGCCAGGTGATTTCAGGTAGAATGTGGAAAACATTTTTATAGCGGTACTTAATGTTTTATTCTAATGTATAGTAGAGAAAAATATAGCCAGCTCCTTGGGATAAGTAGTTTTTTGGGGTTTTTTTGAGTTCATTTAAAGGGAACTATTAAATCATAGTACAGGTGATATTTACAAATGACAAAAATCTGTGGGAGCAAAAGGCAAATGCTAGGATTTGGGGAAACTATATTCTACTTTGGGTCTAGTCCAGCAGTTCTCAACCTTCCTAATGCCGCGACCCCTTAATACAGTTCCTCATGTTGTGGTGACCCCCAACCATAAAATTATTTTTGTTTTCCGATGGTCTTAGGCGACCCCTGTGAAAGGGTCGTTCGACCCCCAAAGGGGTCGCGACCCACTGGTTGAGAACCGCTGGTCTAGTCCATTTCCTGTAGCCATTAATGGTTTGTGCTCTGGCTCTGCTCTCTCCTGTGCTGTTCTGATTCTCTGTACCCGTTCCCATGCTGCCTCCTGCTTGCTTTCCTCAGAACATGAGCATCAAGTAGTCACGTTTCCTCTGACCATTTACTGGGGTCACTGCTCCACTGAAGGAAATACCTAGGAACTGATCACTCCTCCCCACCGCCGGTTTACCCCAACCCAGCATGTCCATATTCATGGCTGAGGCTTCAGGATGACACAGTGACCAATTTCTCTCCAAGTCCTGGAGGCTAAGAGGAACAGTTAGAATTCCCACATAAACATGCCCTCCAGGTGTCAAAAGTTAAGACTTAAAATATAGTATAGGAAGGACTACAGGCAGAACATTTGAGGACATTGACAGATCTAGAGCCAGGCAGGACTAATACACCAGGGTTTCCAAAAAATGTATACACATTTTAAGAAAGGAAAACTGTATTAAAATTGTAAAACTCAATATATACCGATAACAAAAGATGAATACAAGTCACGTTTGACTTCTGCAATTACAAGAGGTGCTCAAAGTGGTTACCATCAGCATCCAGACACTTCTGATTATGGCGAACGACTGCTTGAGCAACGTTGACCAGTCCACTTGTATACACTTTTTTGGCACCCCCGGTGTATATCTCCTCTCTGTTTCCAAGGCCATACCTGTAACCTCCAGTATTGTCTTTCCCTCTCCACAGCCTCCCTCTCCTTATCTGCTGCTGTCTGGGTGCCTTGGGCTGCAGGCCCCAGTCACCATTGCCATGTGGAGTGGCTGAAACCATTGTATTATAAGTTGGGTCCTCTCCTAGGGGTTGGTATCTTTGGCCTTTGAGCAGTCACTTCTTAGGGGTGGACACTCCCCCGTGTGAGTTTCTTCCATTGTGTAGAGCACTCCAAATTCAGCCTCTCGGGTTAGAAGGGACCCTTTAAGTCAGCGAATTTGACTATCATTCAGTACTCATCTTTACACAATCCCTTGACTTGGCCCCAATCTGGGAAATCCTTCCCTCTGTATTTCATCTCTTTCCTCATTAACTCTGAGACAAAAATCAAAACAAAACATACCTGCTTTTTCCCTTCCAGATTATGGAGACCGTATTGTACTTAATGAAGGAATTTATCGTTAGCTGATGCTGGAGTAAGTGTCTCTAAAGTAGGGTTCCAATGTTATTGCAGGTTATTAATCGCCGAGAGGAGCCTCAAGAGGCCTAAGATGCCTTGAACCTGGACATGGTTTTGTGTATACGTGCAGTTTTGGGGGAATAGAATTTACACAGTTCAGTATAGTATCTCAAAGATCCGTGATCCAGAAAGGGAGTCTCTAAAGGGAGAACAGACCCTGAAGGGAAACAGCAGGAAAACAAAGAAACGTAAAGCCCAGGATGAGATACATCCAACTGGCTTACCGTGAGCAAGACCTTTGGACCCTGCATCTGGGGTTCTCTCCAGGGAATTTTCTACTTCGTTTTGTAGTCTGTCAGACCTTTCTGTTTCTGGGGAGCTGGACTGCTTTCCTGCTCTTACCTTTCCTATAGGTTCTGCCAGCTCTTGTCTCCTCATACACGTATGCACAACCTTTTGGAAATGAGTGGGAGTAAATCTGAATGAAGCAATCTTTATAGCTTTCTTGGTGGCCCCAGGAGTTACTCTTCCATTATGACACACTCCATGGGATCTGAAAATTATTCTGTTGTAATGGAATTTGGCATAATGAGTATATTTTCATTTTTCAGAAGGACGTGATTGGTGAGGCAGAGAAAGAAATCGTTCTTAGACACTCTGATGAAATTGGCAAGTTAAAAAAAAATTTAGAATAGGGCGAAGATTTCTAATTCTCTTTTTATTCTGTTTTATTTCCTAACACATTTTTGCCCCATCAGATGGCCTAGACCTGAATTTTAATGAATTCCGAATTTTCTTTGGAGACTTTAAAAAAGAGAATTTAAGGCATCACATTTATATTGTCCCAAAGGCAGAATTCAATATTGGACATCTTTTGTCATTTAGAAAAGGCAAGGCGAGGGATGTAGAGGTGACAGGTGTTCTGAGGTAGCCTACTAAAGGGAAGAGAACATGAGCTAGGAGACAGGTGGCTGGGTGCTAGCCATAGTGCTGTTCCGAACTTGCCAGGTAACTTCAATCAGGTTGGCCTTTCTGGGTCTTATCTGTAAAGTGGGAATAATGATGCTGACTTTCCATATTTCATTGGCTCCTTGAGAGGCTCAAGGGAGAATAGATGTGAAAGAGTGCTTTGTAGGCAAAGAGATGTCTCTGCACTTACATCTTTTAATGGTGCTGAAGGTACTGGTGTTTGGTTAGGATGTTTAAGATGGGAAGTTACAGGGTTATTACTGCTTAGTGGCAGGTTAAAATTCTCCAGTGCAAAGAATATTGTAA